GAGAACTCTAACATCCAAACCAAAGAGTTTACAATATTCTAACAATTGCGCTGCTCGCCAAGTAATATGAGTTATCTTAATTTGGTATGCAAATTTGCTTATACGTAGATATTGAAAGGAAGGCTTTTGTTGCACTAATATTCGAAGAAGAGCAAGTGTGTATGATTTACAAGATGTCAATCATGCTCCCACTTGCTTAGAAAGAGGAATTCCCAACCAGAGATGAGTGCAAGTTAATGTGGTGTTTACACAAACGTGCCTTCTTTATATATGTGTCACTGTTTGAATGTATTACTAATCTATCCACAACCTTCTTCTCTGCCGAATATATGACGAGAACACTTATGTTGTAGGTTGAAAAGAGTTTGACGAAATTGGCGCATTGCACATATGACAAAACTACATTAATAAATACCCGCTATGTTTCACAGCAACAATGTCCTATTTTGCAAATCGCCCGACATGAGCTTTCTAAGCTATCAAGCAAATTCGATTATGTATTCAAAAAAATGAAATTACATGTTTGAACTACATTTATAATGGAATATCTCACGACACTTGAGCCGTCAGGAATGTCCCTGGATCAGTTAGAAATAAAAAAAGGGGCGGTTATTACGAAGTTGTGTAATATTGACGTCCTAAATGGTCTCTGCAATGGGACCTGCTTGAAGGTTGAAACATAAGGAAGGTCTGTTCCTGGTTGTCGATTCATCTGCAAAAATCACAAAAATCAGTTGACGATGACTCCAAGAATAGACAGTTACTGGGACAGCCATATACCGCTTCGCTTAAGAAAGCGGCTCCCGTTCGCGTTGTTTTTGCAATGATAATTAATAAATCTCAGGGACAATTATTCAATACAGTTGGTGTCTACCTTTCTAAAAATGTTTTCAGCAATGGGCAGCTATTTTTGCCTTCTCTCGAGTTTGAGCACCCACAGGTCTCAAAGTGAACACTCCCGTAAGAACAGTGAAAAATATCGTCTACGAAGAGGTTTTACATTAGCGCTTTTCACGTCAAACCAAATAGATTAAATGTACTAAGGCTTATCAGTAAAATTTTTATAGAACAAAAACAGAAGAGTCCTGCACGGTCTGATTCAAAGATTTAGCGAAGTTCTTTTGTTCCTCTAAAAATGGAAGGTTGTCATCAAAAAGTAAAACTGTTGTGGCATTCCACATTTTAATGGTCTTAGTACTTTTAATTATTCCACACATGAGCTGTTTAGTATTTTCTAAAAACAACAGCATATGAAGGAACTGCGAATTGGTTACAATAAATCTTCTATTATAATCGTGTGCTGTATTAAAAAAGACTTAAACGGAGACGCTACACCA